ATAAGTTTGAAGGATTAAAAAATTTTGTCTTATCCTTCCCCCTAATCTTATATATGACTGAAAGTGAAAAAGTTTGATTCATTTTTTTTTTCGGAGAAACTGATGTACTAGACAAATTTCATGGAAAATAAATTTGCCAAGGACGATCACGTTTGATTTTAAACAGCTTCATCACTAACCAGATCACACTAACACTATTGTTTAGAGGTGGGGTGAGGAGTTGGATACATATTGGTTGACTTCCTCGATTGAAAATGATTGACCAATTAAGCCCTGTTTACAACGAGGGAGGGTAACCCTAGTGCTAGGGTTACCCTAGCACTCGCAAATTTCTTCTTTTTTTGCGCGAGGTATTTACAGGCAGATAATTAAGGGTTACCATGGCGCTAGGGTAACCCTACCTGCCTTATAAACTCTCTGTTAGGGATAGTTCGCCTAACCGGAACACTGAACTTTGCTCCGTCATGCGTCACTAGTAATTTTGACAATTTGAACAGAGTTACCCAATTTCTGAGTTAAATTATAAACATCTGAACAATATAATGTATTTTCTGTATACGATGATGATATTTTCCCGTTTTTCCTGAATTTAACGTGTTTTCTATAGAGAACTGCAAGTTTTCTTTCACATATTGGACGTTAAAAGAAAAACGTTTATTTTAGTCTTATTTGGTCATGCGTAACGAAATACTCCTGTAAAGCTGGTAAAGTTGAGTCGTGTGGTAACCCTTCCCGTGAAAATTGTTCGTAAATTCGGGCTATCTTTAACCCGCTTGCTAGGGTAACCCTAGCACAAGGGTAACCCTCTCTACTTGTACACAGGCCCTTAGAGGCAAAGATACGACCCCACGGGGGGGGAGGGGTACTGCCATATATGGGCTATATAGGTATGTGCCTCTGTGAAGGGTTTAATGGTTTTCACGCAGTTTACTCTGGGAAAGGGTATATAAATCAGAGAGTTTGGGTCTAGAATAGGGTGAAGATTTTAGTCTAGACTAGGGTAACCGGGAATTGTCACTCAAAAATATATATAAAAAAATCAAATCGGCATGTTTAAATTTACGCAACTCAGCCTAAAAGCTACTCTCGAATAGCGAGGGTGCAGGGGGGTGGGGATTTGGGTAGTTTAGTCTAGTGTATGTCAGAAAAATTCAGCTAAACTACAGCTCTGATATAGGTTAACGGTTCCAGGGACCCAGCGGCACATCCGCACGCAAAAATTCCTAAAGTACTCTCCCCCAGGAGATATGACATTTAAATGTTTCAGTGTGTGTGCCTGTATGTGTTTTTATTACTAAACCTGATGCTTTTTCTGCGAGGTTGTTTTTGTAATTTCCGGAGTCTGCCCTTCTTTTTTAAGCATCCTTGATGCACATCGGAGGGTCCACAACACACGAAATTTTGGGGGGTAAGGTTACCATATTGAAGTAATTGAACTAGTTATAATCTGCGTTATTTTTAAGCTAGTTAAAACTCCAAATATCTTAATCGCACTTTTTGGCAGAAAATCAAATCACGTACTGAAAACAAAAACGACTTCCTTTTTCTTGATACGGTCATGGAAACTTAGAATTAAAACTGAATTGGAAACGACTCGAAACTCAGGAATTCGATTGCGTTCTGGCGCGTATCTTGCCTTGTTTTCATTCACCTCCTGAGACCGGTCAAGCTAATTCTGAAATGACCAAGGCTGCGAGTAAATGAAATCATTTGGGAATTTCCGGAGTCTGTTTTTCTTTTTTAAACATCCTTGCTGCAAGTTATGCTCAGGATCATCGCAGGGTCCACAACACACGACATTTTTGGGGGTAAGGTTACCGTATTGAAGTAATTGCATTGCGTTTAAAACCCAAGAACTCGAAGGCGACCGCAAACTGGAGTTCGACTTTAACCGCGAAGGACGAAACATGCAGTACCTAGCTTTATTACGCTGCTTGTAAGTTCATTCCAGACATCAGTAAATTTATCATCACTGATGACCTAAAACGGTTAAATTCTGCTTCATTTTTCTAGGCTGTTCATCGGTTTGATTTTGCCTGTTATGGTCTCTGGTTTTTGGAGTTCACCCCTATCACGAGGACGAATGCGATCGATGAGACCGCGTCCAAATAGAAGAATGACAGGTAATGGTAATGGTAAGTGTGCTTAGTGATAAGATAACTTTAAAAAACGCCCGAGCAAGAATAAAGGTGGATGCATATTTATGAGTTATGGTCGAAAACTAAGAGCCGGGGGCACGTTTTTGTTCAAGTTTTTCATTTTTGCCGTAAAGAAACGAGAGGGCTTGGAGATTGTCACCGTGAAATGTCCGATGTGTGGTTAGGGCTCGCCTCAAAGCATTTTGAGAGTTCGTAATTGTAATATAACATCCTCGCTTCGATCGATCAAGTGAGCAGAAGTCGACGGGATCATTTCAGTGATTTTGTAAGACGCTGCTGACATATCGATGACTCATCGATGTTATCTAGTGCTGTCCAAGAATCTGAGCGTGAAAAATGGAGAAAACAATGGCGTCCCTGCAGGCGTTCTTTTCCTTTCTCCCCCGCGCCCCAAAATTCTCCTCTCCCCTTCCCCTTTTAACACCTGCCACGCAGACTAGGGTATCAGTCCAAAAGTGGACAACATAATTGTACAGGTAACACGTCAAGATCTTTAAATTGAAACACTCATATCAGATATTTTTTAGTCAATTCTCTTTGGCGTTAATTTCCTATCTTCGAAAGTCGTTTTCCCGTAAATTCGTGTTAATGTAAGTCGCGTTAATTTCTTATCCCTTCATTTTTATTTTCATAGCGCGTTAATTTCCTATAAAAAGGCAGATATATAATTGTTATTCTAATAGGCCATTTTATTTATTCGAGTTGACTCAAGCCTCTGTCTTAAAACGAAGCTAAGTGCGAAGCCTTTGACACAAAAATGAATTTTACAGGAGAAAAGTTTAGAAATTGAGCTCGTTTTGAAAGTGAAGATTTTTGGAACTCGAAGATAATGGTATTGATCTTACTAAAATGACTATTCCGGTAGGCCACAGTTACTTGGAATTATAGAAAAACTAAATCAGTTTTAATGATTCAGTACCTGACTTCGTAATTGCAGATATAAATGAGTGTGAAACAGGAAAGCACAACTGTGACGCAAACGCTATCTGCAGTAACACAATAGGATCCTTTGTGTGCACTTGCAAGCCAGGGTATTCTGGGAATGGAAAAAAAAAACAGTATTCTTTGGTATTCCTTATAATCGTTTCTTAATCAACTCTGATTTTTCTCACATTTACGCCAGTTACTTTCAGTTACAAGGTAGGCTCGATTACCAGCCGCTGTTCTGAAATGAGCCCGCTCTCTTCCTCTCGGGAAGGACCGCCGAAAGAGCAGCGGAAATCGAGCCTGGTAACAAGGTCGTATGCTGTTGTAAAGATTCTTTGGATATACCTCAAAATATATGTTGCAGTTGATTTTTTATCTTAGATCATTTTTGTTTTTCTTTTGTGGGCATGGTAATGTATGCTGCCTAATGAAGTTGAAACAAAGAAAACAAAAATTACCTGAGATTATAAAAAATTAACTTCAACATGTGCATTGCAGTTACAGTGTCAGTATTATTTACATTGTTGTTCCTTAATATGCCTTTTCAGTGTGGTTAGGGCTCGCCTCAAAGCATTTTGAGACTTCGTAATTGTCCTCTGGGCTTGTTTCAGTTTAAAATCCAGATATTTTCAAGTTACATGGCTGAGTAAGAACACCTACTTGTTAAAGAGCTACTTTTCATTCCACTGCTCCACGAGAAGACGCTTAATTTAGCGAAAAGACACAAAAACGGATGGGTGAAAACTGAGAAGAAAATCAGTGCAGCAGCCAGCTACTGTATGGATCAATCTTTTCTCAGACTTTTGTTCCGGCTAGCACAAAAATCCAAATCTGGATAGTATAAAATCCGAACAACGTTTGGCTAAAGGGAACGCAACCTTAATGTCGCTTTAACCTGCGATCAGGAGCTCTTTTTTCCTTAACAATTTGAGATACTTTAACACTTTTTAAGAAAATGGGGGGGAGGGCATCATCTCAGGTTAATAAGGAGTTAAATCAAAGACGTTTTTAGCGACGCACATCAACCGAAAGAGAGTAGTTTTCTCTTTTAATTTGACATCACGCTACAAACTTTGCTTTCCCAAGTGTCTTCAATTTTCATATAGACGAGTTGCCCGAAAATCCCGCTGCCATATATGGGCTATATAGGTATGTGCCGCTTTGAAGGGTATGGTTTTCAAGCAGTTTACTCTTGGATAGGGTATATAAATCAGAGCGTTTGGGTCTAGCATCCATAGGGTAGTATAAGGTATCATTTTTCAGGAAACTGATCAGTTGGTTGAAATTTTTACATAGACTAGGGATTGCGGTAGAAGGTTTTGTTTTGGCTAGACTGCGTTTAGTTTCTGGAAAATAGCTACTCTAGGATAAGGGGGATTTGGGGAGTTTACTCTAGTGTAGGGTAGCCAAATTCAGCTGAACTAGCTCTGGTATAGGTTAAGGGTTCCAGGGTCCCTGCGGCACATCCCAACCCAGAAATTCCTAAAGTACCCCCTCCCCCCCTCCCACGGCCGAAAATCTGGTCAAAGTCGCGCCTCAAAATTGCAACTTTGAAAACATCCACTGCGGGTTGTCGTAACAGAAATGAGAAGGGATGAAGGGATGATAAGAAGGGATTGAGATAATTGTCCTCTCGTGCGGTATAGCCGCCTCGCCTTCTTCTGAGTACAACTATTGCTCATTGCAGCTAAAGCAACTCTATAACAATGTGCAAAAAGTGAACAAGGTTTCTGGCCAACAGCCCGGGTGGTTTTTAAAGTTGTCCCAGTGCTGAATAAAAAGGACGTATTCAAAGATTTAGCGTCTGATTTTACTTAATAACTGATTATTTTTTTATTACCATCTATAGGTTGTCGTTCAGTTCAGTGCGGAGGTAACGTAACTATTAACAACACTGGTGAAATCACTAGTCCCCGATTTCCATTAAACTATCCTAAGAATGCAGACTGTGAGTGGAAAATCTACGTGGATGAAAGCTCACGAATAAAGCTAACGTTCATGGACTTTAAAGTAAGTGATAAGTTAATGAGGGAACAAAGTTTTTAAAGTGATCAGCAACTACATTTCTTTTCAAAATTCTATTTTTTAACTAAGTTACAAAAAATGCATAATTATATGCGGAAGGAAAGCCTGAAAAGTTTCAGGCTTACCGGGAGTAGAACCCTTGACCTCTGCGATACCGGTGCAGCGATTTCAGCAATTGAGCTGGCAACCCAACTGGGAGATGGTCATTAAATTGGTTCGTAACATACCCGGCAAAGATGAAGACGAAATAATCAATATGTGAATTTCAAATATTTAAACCGCAGAATGAATACATACAGTGTACAGAAGATCCTCGTAGTTAATGTCGCAACTTATGTACAGCGCGCTCCGCCCCATCTTAATTGCAAATCATGAACCTCCCAATCCTAAGTTCGTGCGAATAAAGATGATCTCTTTACCCATCAAATACGTTGTTCTACCCCCCCCCCCGGGGGGGGGGCGTTCCGACAAAAAATTTACATTCATGCGCTACATCTAGATCTACAGAGTTAGGATTTTTAACTGAAAAAAACTAACGCATTAGCGGAGCTACATCAGGAGTGCTGGTGTCCTCGCTCTTGATCCTGGGTTTGTAGACCACGCACCGTTCACACCTTGTTCAAGGCTTCCGGTTCAGAATGATACCCTGTTGTAGACTCAGGATCCCAAAAACCGCACCAGTTCAGCGGCGCATCCTCATTTAGGCCAGGTAAGGGGGTCCACCACCAGGGATTATAGACGGATTTTATCTACCTCCTTTTACCCGATCTGCAAGTTATATACAGTGAAACCTCTCTTAAGCGGACCCCCAATTAAGCGGACGCCCTCTATTAAGCGGACACTAAGCCCGGTACCGAAATTAACGTCTTATATTTCCCTTTATAACGAACCCTATTCAGCGGAAACCTCTATAAAGTGGACGCGGACACTAAAATAAATTGTATTTGTCTAATTTCTATTGTTAATAACCTCTATTAAGCGGACACCGGACTGAATTAACAATAGTAGTATTAAATTACGTCCTTGAAATACGTACTGAAGTCAGTTAATGTTTTTGGATTCATTATAATTACACTAACTTAAAGTTGGTACTGAAAGGTAATGAACTTGAACTCTGGATAGCTTCTTTAACAACAGGCAACTTTATCACAGTACATGTACAGAGTAACTGTTGAATGCTGATCGTTAACAAACATTGCGCAATTTTTAAGGTTGAAAATAAGCCTGCTTTGTGCCGCGTTGCTGAAGTAGCTTGATTGCAGTATGTGAGCGATGAATGCTGCATCCCGTGTTAGCAACAATGCTGCTACATCTTCAACGTTTATGCACGCTTCCGGAATTGTCATGGAGGGAGGATAAAGAAGACAATTGGGAAGCTCTTTTGCAAGGGGATTTGCAACGCAGATATGATACACGCGTAGGAAGTACGTTGTTTTCAAACCGTTTGCGTTTTCTGCCCTTTGATTTCCTACGGTTTTGTTTTAATTTTCTTTTTTTTGACACATAGCGTCCTGTTAAGCCCTTGAAGACCTGGTCAAAGGTCTCCTTTTTTTTTCGAGGTTTTCTAATTCCCTGAAACCTTGAGCTGCTTTGCCTCAATCCTAGCGATGTGCTGCACATTGAAGTCATGGTGGAATTTCTTGTCAGGCTTCAGGCTAATGCCATTCGCCTGGAAGAGCGTGGAGTCATGATAACAAAACGAAATTTTAATGCAGTAACTTTTTAATACCTTATGAATCTTTTTATTCATGGGGGCTTCCAAAAATTACTCTGATGGGGGGGCATGCGAAAAAAATCGGAAATTTGGGGGGGGGGGGTCATACAATTTTCAAATTACACTCCTCCAAATCCCGCCAGCCCCCCCTACCCCATAAAAAATGAACGGTCCCTAAGACCCAAGGATTTGGTATGATCGACTCTCTTGATAATTTGGTCATCAATTCTGATTTCTACATCGTCATATTGGGCAGATAGTCTTTGTCTTGATCCAATAATCATTAGCTCTGTTTTAGCAACATTTAGACTGAGCTAGTTAGCTTTCAGCCAACAGCTAAGGTTATTTAATTCAGGGGTTAGAGCTAGCTTAAGCTCTGTTAACGTCTTAGCAGATAACGTAAGGTTGGTGTCATCGGCAAACATTCTTGGTACGGGCGCCCCGCAGGAGTTGGGAAGATCATTAATGTAAATTAAAAATAGCAAAGGACCCAATATGCTACCCTGCGGCACGCCGCAACTGAGGGTACGAGCAGATGATAGTTTGCCACTGACATTACATCTTTGGGTTCGGCCACTTAAGTGCGACGAGAACCATTTTATGGCTGCCTGATCGACACCCAAGTATGACGTCTTACGCAAGATGATCTCATGATCAATGGTATCGAATGCCTTAGTAAGGTCAATAAAGACAACGCCATTTAGAAGGCCATTGTCGATGTTTATTGACCAAGCATTTGTTGCCTCAAGCAAAGCCGTGAGCGTACTATGTAGAGAACGGAACCCTGATTGGCAACCTAGTAGCAATTTATTATCATCTAGATAATGGAAAAGTTGATTATAAACAATTCTTTCAAAAACTTTCGAAATTATAGGGATTACAGATATTGGCCTGTAGTTGCTAGGGTCCGATTTAATGCTCTTTTTAAAAAGTGGAGTCACTTTGGCCATTTTCCAATCGTTTGGATATATCCTAGTGAGAATAGACTTTGAGAATATTGAGGTAAGAGAAGGTGCGACGATATTAGCAGCCATTTTCAACAATTTACTCGGAATCATATCAAGACCGGTGGCTTTCTTTTCATCAATTTTCGACAAAACGTTAGAAACAATATCAACACTCGGAATTTGCAGAGAAAACGAACTGGGTCAGTGGGCTCTGAATAAGACTCAGGATTAGCATCGACAACAGGAATATCTTGTACTAATACTTGCGCAACGTTTGTAAAGTGATCGTTAATAGTTTCCGCAATGTCCATAGGGTTACTTGCTATTTTATTATCTACCTTGATCGCCAAAATATTCGTTGACTTATGACTTATTCGATGTCTTTGAGTCCGGGGTGACACGTGTTGGTTCAGTGATTAACTGACTAAGACCATATATATCGAAAATGTTTATCAGATGAGAAGAATTAACTGTAATTGCTTCAGGCAACAACTTGCAGTCGATATCACCGAGTAAATATAATTCCTTATTTTCCGCGTCAATTTTAGCAATAACATTCTCAAATTCGCTAAATAGATTGGGTGGAGAACTTGGGGGTCGATACCAAGTACCGACCAGAAATGGTGTGCTTCGTGGCTTACTGATTTCAACGAAAAGACACTCTAAAAGATCATTATTTAAATCATTGCGTATTCGATAGTTCAGATTAGTGCGAACGTATGTACATACTCCACCTCCATTCCTTCCGTTAATTTTACGATCTTTTCTGACTATTTCAAAGCCAGGTATGTAAACTTCGTCATCACGAACTGTAGAGTCTAATTTTGATTCGTTGATATGTAAAATATCAGCTTTTGAAGAGGACATAAAAACTCTAAGTTCGTCAATATGAGACAACAGACTATTAATGTTAAGGGACGCTATGGCTAAACCTCGCTGATTAACGTATGTTTTGCCTCCTAGCTGGAATCATGTCCGTTTGATTATTTGGAGGTTTTTAATGGTGACACAAAAGATAGAAAGAAACGTGTGGCTAAGCTATGCGGAAGTGATTTACCTGATCCTATCGAATCCAGTGGCAACACACTCATCCTAAAGTTCTCTTCAGATTACTCAATTGGCTACAAAGGCTTTAAGCTGCAGCTTACAAAAACAGGTGTGGCACTAGTTCCGTTGGTACATATCAAGAGCAATGAGAATTATTCTCTCCGTACATATTTATCCTGGTGTAATTATATTTAGGCATTTGTAATGTGGTACTGAGCAAGGTTCTGCAAAACGCCGGATAAGCAATAGTACTTAGAGAGAACATAGACTAGAGATAAGACCATGCGTCAAGCGATCACTTACGAATGCGAGCCGAAAAACAATAAAACATTTTGTAAAATCACTTTACCCCAAACATAATGTAGTTGCAGCCACATGAGAGAGCGATACGAGAGCTCTCACCTGTAAGCTTTTATCGGGAATTATTATCATTATGTTTTTTTTTTATGGATAAGAAGTCGCTTAATTGGAGATGGTTGAAATTTTTACATAGACTAGGCATTGTGGTAGAAGGTTTTGTTTTGGCTAGACTGTGTTAGTGACCTCAGTAGTTTCTGGAAAACAGCTACTATAGGATAAGGGGGATTTGGGGAGTTTACTCTAGTATAGGGTAGCCAAATTCAGCTGAACTAGCTCTGGTATAGGTTAAGGGTTCCAGGGTCCCAGCGGCACATCCCCACCCAGAAATTCCTAAAACCCCCCTCCCCCGGCCGAAAATCTGGTCAAAGTCACGCCTCAAGATTGCAACTTTGAAAAAATCCACTTCCGGTTAACGTAACAGACGTGCGTCTCTCATGAAGGAAGACAGCCAGTCATTAATTTAAAAACTCCAAATTGTGTTTTTCGAAAGTAAATTGAATTTACTGATCTAATACTACAAAACAAAATCATCGGATGGAAAGAAATCCGGGCTAATTCTACATGTCAAGGGAAATGAGAAGGGATGAAGGGATGATAAGAAGGGATTGAGATAATTGTCCTCTGGTGCGGTATAGCCGCCTCGCCTTTTTCTGAGTACACCCCGGGTGGTTTTTAAAGTTGTCACAGTGCTGAATAAAAAGGGCGTATTCCAAGATTTAGCGTCTGATTTTACTTAATAACTGATTATTTTCTTTGTTACCATCTATAGCTTCTCGTTTTGTTCAGTGCGGAGGTAACGTAACTATTAACAACACTGGTGA